GGCAACCAGGGCCACAATCGAGCAGTTCTTCTGTACGTGGAGCTCCACAGTAAACCGGTGGAAAAAACTACCAATGCCCTATTGTAAGCTGTCATAGTGTTTGAAGATAAAGCAGCTTGAGAATATGACCGAGCGTGAGCAATGAAGTTGGTCAGACCATGACAAGCTCCAGAAATACTGGTGTTCTGGATTGGGTGCCGCTTGGCAAAGGGATGGAATCTGAAAAAATTCCAGTATTCGAAAACGGGACAATGTGTCAGCTGTGGTGTTGGTAATACCAGGGATGTATACATACACTAAATAAAACTGAAACGTGGTGGCAAAAGGTAATTGTTTGGACCAAATGCATGGTGGTCAAAGAGAAGGAGCGCCCTTATTGAGGAGTTGTCAGGAAAGCATATGTACTGCCATCCCGACCCAAAGATAACCCCTGGTGTGAGCAACCTCCAACATGGGATAGATTCAGAACAGGACAGAGGCAAGATGAACCAATGGTCACCAAAAAACCAACAAACCTAGTATGGGCGATAGTGACTGCACATATTACAAGCGACTGTTCTGACAACGGGGCGGGGAGGAAAATGGAGATACTGTTCAAACTTAGAAGGAATTGGTACCACATGATCAGGCCAGTTTGGTGAATGATCCCCTCGCTGCAGAACATTACAATAAGGGTGTGGTTGTTTGTTTCTGCCGGCAATGCTCTATTCCCGGCTCTTATCTCCAACTCGGCTGCCTCTGTGGGACTGGTTATCGGGGCAACCAGGAGAGGTGTGTCCGGACAGACCTTGCTGCAGCCACCTAATCAAGATGACCTGGGGGCCACAAATGTCAAACTCTGCATAGAAATGGAGATATCCTTATAACAGCGACGGATATATCTGTAACATGCAGAGCAATATTGATCTGTAACATGCAGAGCTATATATATCTATAACATGCAGAGCGATATATATCTGTAACAAGCAGAGCTATATATATCTGTAACAAGCAGAGCTATATATATCTGTAACATGCAGAGCAATATTGATCTGTAACATGCAGAGCTATATATATCTATAACATGCAGAGCGATATATATCTGTAACATACAGAGCTATATATATCTATAACATGCCGAGCTATATATCTGTAACATGCAGAGCGATATATATCTGTAACATGCAGAGCGATATATATCTGTAACATGCAGAGCAATATATATCTGTAACATACAGAGCGATATATATCTATAACATGCATAGCTATATATCTGTATCATGCAGAGCTATATATATCTGTAACATGCAGAGCAATATTGATCTGTAACATGCAGAGCTATTTATATCTATAACATGCAGAGCGATATATATCTGTAACATACAGAGCTATATCTATCTATAACATGCCGAGCTATATATCTGTAACATACAGAGCGATATATATCTGTAACAAGCAGAGCTATATATATCTGTAACATGCAGAGCGATATATATCTGTAACATACAGAGCGATATATATCTATAACATCCATAGCTATATATCTGTAACATGCAGAGCTATATATATCTGTAACATGCAGAGCAATATTGATCTGTAACATGCAGAGCTATATATATCTATAACATGCAGAGCGATATATATCTGTAACATACAGAGCTATATATATCTATAACATGCCGAGCTATATATCTGTAACATGCAGAGCGATATATATCTGTAACAAGCAGAGCTATATATATCTGTAACATGCAGAGCGATATATATCTGTAACATGCAGAGCAATATATATCTGTAACATACAGAGCGATATATATCTATAACATGCATAGCTATATATCTGTAACATGCAGAGCTATATATATCTGTAACATGCAGAGCAATATTGATCTGTAACATGCAGAGCTATTTATATCTATAACATGCAGAGCGATATATATCTGTAACATACAGAGCTATATCTATCTATAACATGCCGAGCTATATATCTGTAACATACAGAGCGATATATATCTGTAACAAGCAGAGCTATATATATCTGTAACATGCAGAGCGATATATATCTGTAACATGCAGAGCGATATATAACTGTAACATGCAGAGCAATATTGATCTGTAACATGCACAGCTATATATATCTATAACATGCAGAGCTATATATATCTGTAACATACAGAGCTATATATATCTGTAACATACAGAGCAATATATATCTATAACATGCAGAGCGATATATATCTGTAACATACAGAGCTATATATATCTGTAACATGCAGAGCGATATATATCTGTAACAAGCAGAGCTATATATATCTATAACATGCATAGCTATATATCTGTAACATGCAGAGCTATATATATCTGTAACATGCAGAGCAATATTGATCTGTAACATGCAGAG